TTACTATATTTTTAAGATGTTAATATGGCGAAGGCAATTTCCCCGGGGATGCGGGCAAATTAGTTCTATTTCCGAGCGCCTCTCTCGTGTGTTAATGTAAGCGGAGAGCCGCGACAAGGAGCCGATCAACCAGATTACAATTAGGCTGCTGATTTGGGCTCGATCAAGCATTGATAATTTTTGGCATATTAAGCACGTTTTAGGAAAGGTGATAAGTCAGTTTTAATTGAAATGAAATGATTATTCTGATGGAACTTTGGATATTATTAACAAACTCCCCGCTCATTTAACATTCAGTTTTGAATGCACGATCCAAAAAGGGAAAAAAAAGATTTGAAGGGTATTAGTATGTCAGCAACGCGAGAGGTAATTTGATGCGAATTACTTTTTTGCTCTCCAGCTGAAATATAGTGAATTAAAAAAAACTCCAGCCCAATCGCCTCGTCGTCTCCGTTGACAGTTTGTCCAATCGATAGATAATGAGATGGGCAGAAGTTTTTAATTGTTAAGATTAAGCGGCATCTCCAGAGCTGATGGGAATTTAGAAATAATTCCTCTCTTTCTTTCTTCACTCCCCCCCCCCCCCCCCCCCCCACCTCTTAAAAATACATCTCAAAAGCTCGGATTGTCATACATCAAGAATAGAGAGAGAGAAAAAAAATACACTTTGCTGTTTAATTGCGATCCCATTCAACTCCAGCGCTGGATCAAATCACCTGCGACAATTAATTTAGATTTAATTCCGTAATTATCAGCAAATCGAGTAATGTGCAAGTTAATTTAGATAGTTAAAAATTAACTTGCGTGAAGTTAATTGAGTAATTAAAACCCTCAACTGCCGCCTATTAATTTGCTAATTAAAAATAAATTTGATTTTGTGCAATTTAAAGTAATATTGACATCAGCCCAGTATCGGCAGCTTGTGAGTTGAGTTGCTTTTGCTGTTTTGACTCCGGTTGCTCGGACCCAGTTTGGCGCTGCTGCTTTGCATTCGTGTTTTACACGTATTTATATTCCACTAAATCACTCTCCAACAAAACCAACTCTCAGGCCTAAGAATTAAATAACCATTAACAGCCCGTCTGGAGGTTGTTAAATGTTCCTTGGTTTTAATGATGGATTTCCCGAGCGCGTGTTGGAAACATTGGCTGCATTTTTAGCCCCCGGGTTGGCTCTGTCTTTCCCCCCATCCCCTACCCCCACCCCCGCCTTGTTTAATATCCATAGGATAATTCTGAGCCGGTAAAGTGATTAATGTGTGGGGAACTGGGTTGTTGGGGAGAAAGAGAGAGAGAGATCCCAACAAAAGAAGTCTCGAACCAGGTGGAAGGAGGGGGGTGCGGCAAGTGGGTGACTTGTTAATGGGACATAATGGGCCAAGCTTGCCTCTCCAGAACATTTCTGGGATGTTGGGATTATCATCTCCGACCAATTTCACTGCTAATAGCACAAAAAGAAAGGAGACATCGGTTCGAATAGATAACCTTAACGAGATAAAGAGGAACATGGCGAGCCGCGCTGTCCTGAATGCGCGGCGTGTACGTCTTATTATCAAGTTAATTAAAGCTAGCATCTGACAATGTCACTCTCGTGTAAGAAAACGTATTTAAATGCAATGTCTCCGAGGACTTTGTGTCAAGGGCTTGCTTTCATTGAGTTGCTGGTCTGTTTTGCCTTGGCAAGAGCACAAGAAACCTGCGCCTGGAAATCACAGCTGAAGGGTGCCTTTAAAGCAGGCGCTTTTATAAGCAAATGTCATGCAGGCAATTATAGAATTTTGATGTATAAAATCAAAAAAAAATAAAACGATGTCCATAATTTGTGCAGATTGACTGCAGTACTACAGACACAAAGAAAGTCTCATCAAACGACAGCGCTCTCCATTAAAGCGTGCTCTCAAACGCTTTAAGAGATTTTTTTTACAAAGACTTAGAAACATTAAACCTTCGACGATTAAAATTTTACAGATTCAGATTGTGAAAGCCGGTTGCAGTGTGGACTGGAGGTCAAGTGACGAATGGATTATATGCTTCTTCATAATAATATTAATTAAACAATTTGCATGGTAATAAGGTAACAATTATCAGGGCTTATGTTGAAAGATACAGGTTATTACAACACGCCAATCACGAGTCAGGGGTCAGCTAGTGAGCGGGGGAAGAGAATTCAGCTCAAATTAACATTCTGTCAGCTCCAGAAATTGGTCAAATAAGTCGAATTAATTCTTTGTAATAAAGAGAGAAAAGTCCCATTGCCTGAGTTTGATTAAGCCTCCCCTGTATTCACAGACACGTCTCCTGTATTGCAGCCACAAAGCTCAAACATAAAATGAAGCGTTTATTGCTACGGGCAAATTTGGGTCCAGTGGCTACAGTTTACATTTAGTATTTATAGAAAGTTAAATTAAATTACGCTGAAAAGTGCGGCCCTTGGCCTCTTCGACCTGCAGCATTAATACTTCTCTCCATTCTTATTACTCCGTCTCTTTAGAAGTCAAACTGGAAATTTGGTCTCTCTTTTTTAATTTTCTTCTGGGTGTAATGTTCATCATCCACTTTGGACTTTCGCAAATCGCCACCTTTTATTTTCAATTAAGAAGTCTAATATTCCGCCAGGTAGTGGCTATTCAGCGTGAAAAATGACAGGCTTCAAAAATGTTGTTTGTATTTTTAAAAACAATTTCAACGAGGCAGGCATCCTGTCTCCATAAATCTAATACATTCTCCACTCTAATTTGATCCTGAGTGTTGTCACCACATTTTCCGCATTGATTTCGTTGGTTGCTGGTTTTATGAGTGAAGGTTTGTCTGAAGTGGGATTGTTTCTCCTTGCTGGACATACTTAACATGTCACCAATATTGACTACACGTTCCTCCATTGAGACTTATTCCCTCGAATCTAACACTTTTGACTCTCCAGTGCCTTTTCCATTTTTTTTTCTCTCACGCCGTCATTCTCCTCCGCGTTTACTTCTGATATTTTACACAAGTCTCCCCCTCCCCAAACTCTTGTGTCCTCCGTATCCTTGCCTGTCTGGTTTGCAACAAACTATTCCAAAGTTTCCCTGTTCAAAACCCTCGCCAACTCACTGGACTGGACCGGGCTACTGGAACTTCGGTATCCCATTTCCCTGTCAGACTGAGGTCAAAGTTCCGTGTTCTCGCCTGACCCTGTTATAGAACAGACCGCTAACAGATACGCGCCCCCTGCAATCATTTTTAAACAACTTTTTTTTCTCTGAGTAGAAAGAAATAACCAGGCGCAATAATCAGACAAAGCGACACATCGCTAGTTTGTGGAACTCAGTCTGTGCCCGTGAAAAACACGGAAAGATTCATATTCCCAAACCCTAGTACGATACAGCATAATTTTACCCTAAAAGCTATTAAAAGAAAGTGAAGATGAAAGGACAAGGAAGGTGTAAATGGAAAGTACACTTTAATACATCTTGTTCAACCACTGCATTTCTAATTTAATAAGCATTTTAAGAATTTATTTGGATTGTTTTCGCATGGAAGACCAGGGAGAGGGGGAAATCTGATGAACAGTTCAGATTTAATTGGTAGTGCCTTCGATCCCAGTTTATTTACAGACTACCTATTGTCCAGTTTACAGAAATAAGGTGGCTTTCAAGTAAATAACTTATTAAGATCGAAGCAAGAGTTAAAAAGAAAACTTGTAGCACAGAGGATTACAGTATATATACATGTCCCGAGACCAATTCCTGGGTATGTTTCTCCCCAAACCTTTCCGGGGAACCATCCTTTAACCTCCCCTGGCCTTCAACCTCCAGAGTTTCCTGAAACTTTGTACCTATACAATTCTGCCACCTTTCCCGGGAAACAAGCTGAACGATTTGTTGCTTATGTTTGTTTTATTTCGGTGTATTTTATTTGAAAATAATGATTCTTTGTGTAATTGTGTTTTTTTCTCTCCCCCTCTCCTGTTGTCTGTAGCCCGGCGATTGAGAGCGAGTTTGGAAACTTCAATGGGGAATATAATTTAATTAGAACAAAACAGGACTCGGGCTCATTACCATTAATCACCGGTTCAGACAAAGTGCCTGGGTTTTTTTCTTGGGAAGAAAATAATGAAAAAAATGACTCGCTGCACCCGCGCACTGGGGTAACCTGTGTTTAATTAGCGCCGTCCTGTGATTAATAATTCAATATTTACTTATTGTTATCGATATTTTCAATAAAGAGCGAATGGCAGTTTTAAAGATCCCCCCTTTTTATATAAGGCACCGTCACGATAGCTTTAAATATTCATAGTGACAGAGCAGTCTAGAGCAAACGGCGAAGATGAAATATCATGTTCTTTTAAATGCATTGTGACAGCTCTGGAAACAGCAGCTGATGAATCCTCTATTATGCGATCAGTCTATTTGCCGCTCAACGTGTCCCTGTAATTGGCCCGACATCAGTTTAAAAGCTGACCAAGGAAATCATTCTCTCTTTATAGGGGGGAAAAATCTTGGACACAACACGATGGTCAATGTTTGGGAGAGAGAGAGAGAAAAAAAATCTATTAGTGTGTGTTGTGTAGGAGCTGTGGAGAAATTGCATATATTTACTCTGTGCTCTGTTTAGTATTTAACCAGGTACCAATCAACCTGCGGGAGCTTGGGCCCGTACTCGTCAAATCCTCCTGCATTGTTTTGACAGCTCATATATTGTTTATTGAGGTGGATGTCATGTATAATTAGCGATCGATATGGAAACGTTTTCAAGCGGGTCTTAATACCCACTGGTCCCAACACACACCGACTATACGTCTCTGACGTCAGACGCGATTAACGTTTCTTATTGGTCCCAAATTCCCAAAGCCTGGGCTAATTATTGGATCCTTTATGTTCATAAAGTAAAGACACATCCGCTCCGTTCACTAGCATGTCAACCGCTTTTCTACTTTCCCCTGCATACATTTTGAAGTTTACCCAAATCCTTTAAGTGCAAGATCTCCCCCCATCCCCCAGCCCCCCCAACCCCTCCCCCCTTCTCTCTCTCTCTCTCTCTCTCTCTCTCTCTGGCCCCTTTCCCCCTGCAGGGAGATGATGGATAGCAGGATCTTAGAACACCACCATGCTCAGTTTGGAGGTACCTTGGCCAGCATGGTAGGATTCCACTACCCCCTTACTCATCACCATGTGTACGAGCTCACAGGACACCAACTTCAATCTGCCAGCGTCCCCTTCACCATAGACGGATTACTGAGCGGCTCCTGTACGGCATCCGTGGTCAACCCGTCCCCTCTGATGCCGTCGGCTTGTAACGTGAACGGGGAGAGCCAGTCCTTCAAACTGTCAGGTAAGAAAGAGAGCAGTCAGAGTGAGGGAGCATAAAGTGCTCTGGGCCCCCAGTTCAGGCCAAGAATTGGACTTCCAGCTTTATCACGGGTTGGGTGAGAACGATACATACGCCAGACACAATTATATTACACAGCAGAAACGAATTAAAAAATATAAAAGGAATGATGCATTTCCCAAAACGAAACGAAAGTAGTTAAATACGAAGACGAGTACAATAGCTCAGGTAACTATAAAGCACTGACTGAAAAGACGAGGCAGACTACAATGTGTGTATTGATATAAACTGTTTCAGGAGAGAGCAGCACATTAGTTGTATACCCGGCTGCAGTGTCATCCGGTGTGGATGGGGCGTAGGTAGAATGTGTGTTTATAGATAGGTGGACATGTGTGTTCGGGCGCTCTATAGCCGTGGGAATCAGTAAGTCGATGCTGTGGGAATGGAGCGCTCTTTGGCCAAGTCTGTGCCTGTAAAAGCTGCACATATTGTTTTCATCAGGTTCCCTCAGCTCAGGCTGGGAGAGAAATTGCATCGAGACCGGCACTTCGGTGCAAACGCCTTGATAAGCGTTCACAATAACAGACTGGGACAATGCACCTGCATTTCAATAAATTGAGACACCAGTCATGCAGCCACTGTCTATTTAATTTTGGGTTATGTACAGGGCTGGGAGAGACATATAGAACCTTTTCTTACGTTCCTACACTAAAAGATATTGTATGTATTCCTAATGCGTACCTATCGCGGGAACGAGTATAATTTCAAAAGTGTGGGTAAAACCGATTCAAGGCCTCTGTAGATTGGGATGTCTGGTATATATTCTCCCTCCAGGAGCGAATTTCTGCTGCCTGCGTGTAGTCTGATCGTTTTGGTTTTTATTCTGATCAATATTTTCCTTCTCCCTTTTTTATTGTTTTATTTCCCCCTTCCTCCCCCGTCACAGACTCATCGGATCCAGAAAAGGACACCCCGGGATGTAAACGGAGAAGGACGAGAACTAATTTCACCGGTTGGCAACTGGAGGAGTTGGAAAAAGCCTTCAACGAGAGCCATTATCCAGATGTGTTCATGAGAGAGGCGCTAGCATTGAGACTCGACCTGGTGGAGTCTCGGGTTCAGGTAAAACATAAAAAGAAACACAGCCCGCTTTATAACGAGCTCAAACTGCACAGTATTCATTAAACTGACACCATTCTAGTAGTCACAAAATGTTGAGACATTTCGCAAATTGAACGGGCTGTCAACGGTAAAATGTTTTGATTCATATTTTTCACCATTTTAAACCGTTTACGTCCACGATTCATTTTTTTAAAAAAAATCCTTACCAAATGAGGTTTTCACCAAAAGAAAAGCGGTACATTTACAAATATAGACTGCACGCTTTCAAACAATTTACTAATCTCAAAAAATGAACAGTTTATTATCTTCCTATTTTTGTTTTGGAAAATGAATTGTTTGTGTATAAATGTTTTTTTTAAAAAAAAAAGCAAACTAAGGACGAGCGGTTAAAACCACACCATTCTAAAGTGTTCAGCACTGACAAAGCTTGATGTTGACAATGTGTTACTTTTGTTGTTAGAATTGCTGTTGTGTTTACCTTTGTGAGACTGGACACAGACTCTTAAAGGGAAAGCTGTGTAAACATGGGGTTTTAATGGTGAGAAACCGCCTATCGTTTCATTGGGACAATGAGAATAATCAAATCATAGCATTTCCCAAAACTTGCAACAGGCAGGGCATTGTGTGCAGGGATTTTTTTTTTGGGAAGGTGGGGAGTGGGAATGTACGTAGAAGTGTTCTTAAAAAAACATTCGGCCGTGTGCAATCACAACGAACTGTCAAAAAATTCCCAGACGACCCTGTGTTAAGTTAAATGTGTTTAAAATTATCAACCTATTGTCACAATCAAGATTGTGGTGCACGTTGAGCAGAAATATCAGACTGAAGTCACAGCCTCCTCCTGACCCTCCCCTGTTCTTAAGCACTTTATCCAATTTGTTGATGGGTAGTTAAGTGAGGTTTAGATGAAGTCGAGAATGTTTATTTCCCTTAAGACGGTAATGAGCACTTCTCATTGACAGAGCAGTTGGAACCGACACAAAGAGAACCCCTTGTAAAACGATTATTGGCCAGTTTAATTCGTGTTTAACAAGGGATAGAATAAAAAAGACACGAGGGTTCCTTTTGATAATCAGAGTGAAGTTGTTTATTTCTCTTTTTTTAATCTTGTTTGTAATCTTTCAATTTTCGAAAAAAAAAATCCCCGATTGTGTAGCAGAGAAACGCGTTGCGGTCCTCAAGTGATTGGCGAGTTTTGTATTTGTGTAGTGTGTAAAATGCAGTAATTTTGGACCCTGTGAGGGTCTGTGAGGGTGACCGAGTTTATTTATTACTTCCTGTAGGAGGTGAGAAAGAAGGGAAGCATTAAGTACCAAATTGAAACCGAGAATTAAGCACTAAACCATCATATTTGCTTACGAAGAATTCGGCCTTTTATGAATAGTCGATCATCAGTATGATTGTTTGCGTTTTGCACTCCCTTTCGAATAACGATATTCGTTGGTTCCACAACGCTCTCTCACCCTCACCAGGCCCCCACCACCACCACCACCACCTCCCCCCCCAAAAAAAACTGGTCTGTGATGAGGGGAAGACTCATCAGTCAAGAGGCTGATTCAAGCTTTGATTCCACCGCGGGTTTTGCAAAATAAACTGCTTCAGTTGAAATCGCAAAGCATCGATTTAATTGATAGAATTACACGCGAGATTAAATGCAATTCGTTTGTCAATTAACCTAATTCAGGTTTTCGTGTTGATTGTGTAAACAAGATGTTATTTACACAGGAGACGGGAAAGATGCGAACTCCCAAAACTTGCTATCACCCCACAGGTAGCCGAGTTCCTCTTCAATGTTATCTCAGGTCATTTAAAGGATAAGCTATGATTTCAACTCGACATCCTCTTCTAACAATCTGTTTTCACATTGATAAGTTTACAAGACAGAAACAGCAAGTGTGTGTTTCTAACAAACCAAAACAAAACAAAACACTGGACCAAATTCAAAAGTGCTTTAAGATGGGCCAGCGGACCGTTATTGTTCTTATTATTAATCTTCCTTTCTAACAAAATCTTAATGGTTATTTTTTAAAAAAAGAATTTATGATGCCTCAAAAGTGAGCGTCAACGAGATTTGAAAGGTTTCAAGATTATCATATTTTTATTTGATAATAAAAGTCTTAACTGGTCATTAAAACCCAGCATTGGAGGTAATAGCTTGGTTGGCCATGTAACTCGCTGTAGGCTAAAGGAAGCATCTGATCAGAGATTTCGGGAACATTTACAGAAACTTTGCGGAAAGAGCTATGCAATTCGATTGTAATGTCGTTTTCATTATTCGGCATGTAGGTTTGGTTTCAAAACCGCAGAGCGAAATGGAGAAAGAAGGAAAACACCAAGAAAGGACCTGGCCGACCAGCGCATAACTCGCACCCTACAACGTGTAGCGGAGAGCCCATGGACCCGGAAGAGATCGCCCGCAGGGAGATGGAAAAGATGGAGAAGAAGAAACGGAAGCAGGAAAAGAAACTTCTGAAATCCCAGAACAAGCTGCTGCACTCGGAGATGGAGTGCAATATTGCTTCCTCTGGTTCGGAGTCAGACAGCAGCGTGGTTCACCTGCAACCTGGTACAGCACACACCGAGGCCAGTCAGCACTCCCCAAACACCAGCAGGGCGCCTACTGCCACCAACTGTGAACAAACCGACCAAAAGGTCTCCCACCACCAAAGAAACGCGTCCCAGAATAATCCCAGTCGATCTTCAGATGTGGACTCTAATCGGGACAAAGCTCCGAGTTATCTGTGCACGAACGCTCGTTCTTCCAGTCTGACCAAGTGCGATCAGAAAACAAACCCTTTCAGCGTGGAAAGTCTGCTTTCCGATAGCACGCCGCGGCGCAAGCCTCACTATGACTACCCAGCCTTACCAAACCCCCGAGCCGTCATTGGGAAGGGACATTTCCTTCTCTACCCCATTACCCAACCTCTAGGTTTCATCGTTCCCCAAACCAGTATCAGGACACCGCCCGTCCAAACCTCATCTCCCTCCAGGCCAGACACAACCGCCCCAGAAACAGACCAGGCGCTTGCCACTTATCCCGGGACAAACTCAAACTCAACACAAGCCAGCTGTCCCGGTTTAGAGTCGAGCTCAGCACAGACCAGCTACCCCGGGACAACTCCAGGAGCCACACAAGCCAACTATCTCGATCCAAATTCCAGCCCGCCTCAGTCAAATAAAGCTCTGGCCTCGGAGGGTCCAGATGAACTGACCCAACAGAGCGCAGACTCTCCCGAGCCAGTAAACACAAACTGCCCTTCAGAACATACGACAGAGTGTGAAGAGGTGGATATGGACTAAGCTCAGAGACTGGAAACTAACACCGCATCTGCAAAGCAGACACAACAAAACAAAGAAACAAGACAGAGAGAGGAATGGAAAATTAGGACTTTCTCGTAAAATTCACTAGATAAACATGTCGTTTCAGTTTATTTAGTTTGTTTGCTATGCAGGTGGATTTCTGTGTGAATTTTCACTGACCAGGCGATGCGTTCAGATATTAACCCAGCCCTGTTTTCACTAAGCGGTGCCAAAACAGTTTATCTTCTCTCTCCATATATATATTCACACACATACACTGTTAACACCAGTGTCTGGACGCAATGTATAAAAACCACAAATCCTCTCCTCATTGTGTAAAACCCAAACAAATGTATCAAATATTTATATATGATGTAACTTTTTTTTATAAATAAAAGTTTCTGTTTAAAAAAAGGTTTTGTCTGTGATCTGAATGTGTTAATATGCGTGCGGCAGCGAAGCAGGCGCTGGTAGAGTCTGTGTTTGTGTTTATTGCTATAAGACCTTTTTATTCATTAAAATGCTGTGAATCTCTGGTGAAGCCGGAGGGGCCACGGTCCTGCCCGCTTCCTGCCGCGTCCTGATATGAAAGTGATTATTTTCCCGATGGCAGCCGAGGTCGGGTTTAGCCCAAAGGGTTATTACACATTACCGATTTTATAGTGAGATGAAATCACACAAGTTCCTTCAATAATAGAATTAGCATGAAAGGGCTGGGGCATAAAATTGAAATTGGAAAATAATAGGCTGAGATGTGTGCGTGCATATTTGGCTGTGCTGAATTGGTTGTGAAATGGGAAATCGTGGGCTGGAATTTTCATGAGGTTTCCTTTGTCATGTATCTTGTAGCAGGCTATATTAAGATAGATGTTCGATGATATCCTTCATTGTTCTGTCGCTTATATTGATGTTCTGGTGTTATCATCCTATTGATCATGTGTCGCCTGTAATAGGACAGGGAAAGCAAACGCGCCTCAACAAAAGAAGAACACATTTGTTCTAATAGGGGAGGAGACCCAAGGGGGGAGTTTGAGATTCAGGACAGCTGCACCGAGAGAAAGAGGGGCGAGGAGAGGGGACGGGGCTGGTTGGGGGGGGGGGGGGGGGGGGGGGGGGGGGGGGGGGGAGGATGAGATATGGAAAAACTTTGCCAGAAACTCGCACCCGCTTTCCCTTGCGCCCCCTCCCCACCGACCACCCCTCCCTCGCCAATCCCCTTCAATTTACAGGGCACTTATGCAGTGTAAACTACATCAGTTCCCTGGGAATTAAAATCCCAATTATTAAAACCATTAATTTTGTCGAGTCTGTGCACAGTGGAATTATGTTTACAGCCTAGTTAAATATCGCTGATCCCTTCTGGTCATCGGGCCTTTTATTTGCAAATAAATTGAATATAATAATAAGACAGGCTTAGTTCTGGGTGCGCGCAGATGAATTTCTGAGCTCCCGTTCTCTTTAATAATATTTACATAATTTTCGCTCGGTGCCTGTGATATTTACTCTGCAGGATGCATCAGCTTTTGGAGAGAAAAAAATAATTAGATCAAAAAAAGAGAGCGAATTTGTGTCGAGACGGACGTCACTTAAGACTCTTTGAACAGAAATTTCATTCTGTACAAATTCAGTTAATAGGAAAATGATTGTCTCTGTGTCCTTAAAACTGGTCTTGCCTCAAATCCCTGACCTTAGCAGTCACGCTTGCCATTTCTGTATCCGTTTGGTACCAAAAGGTGGAAAAATATAATCTGGGAAAGAGGTAAAAAAAAAAGCATCAGCGTTTAAAATGCTATGTTGTTTTAAATAACGTGAAATATCTCCCTGGCAGCAATAAATTGCCTCCTTTCTTCAATTTGCAGCTGTTCATTTTGTCCGTATAGCTCATGTTTTATTTATTTACAGCCATAATGATTGCGGTTGTGAATGAGGCCGAGTATCGGTCGCTAGCAGACACATGTCCTTAAGGTGAATTAGTGATTTAGTTAAGCAGTTTAGTCCAATGTTGGTGCTGCTCTCAGCTCAATAGGGTTTTTTTTTTTGCTGAGCCCGAGGAGGAAGCTGTTTCTAGACAAACTATCAATCGATCTAGCTCGCAGTCTCCGGGAGATGTGTCCGCGATGAATCATACTTTATGAATTCAATTTATACCAAGAGAAATTTTCAATTTGAACGCTGGATCATTATGGGACAGTGCAAATTGTTTTTGCTCTATTATGCATCGGACGCCATCATTTTTCTTTCTAATTACGGAGGTGTCAGGTCGAGCTGTCATCCCGGCGCTGATTTTCAATTTAACTGATCATCATACATTCATTTTCCCATTTGATAAATCTGCTATCTAGACGCGACGCCATGCCCTGAATATTAAGTTGCACACAGAAAGGCGCAGTAATGGGGAGTGTGCATGCAATAAGTGCAGATCACGGAGCTAATTTAGCACCTTGTGCGCTTCCATCTCGTTTTCTGATTTCCAAATCTCTAAGGACCGAGCTCAGCCCAGGGGCTGCAGTCTTCTCTCTCACAACCGGTTCCAAAACGGCTGGTTTGTATTACAGAATTTCCAAATTAGGATATCAAGCTTAATTAATGGTAATTGAGTTCTTCAATACGTGTTATTTTTATTTAATAGAAACAAATTTGCACAATTAATTATGAACGTAATTTTCAAGAGCCCCATTTGCAACACATTTCCAAATTAGCTGAAGCAAATTAGACGCTTTTATGATGATTTCCACCTCCATTTCCACCCCCCACCCCTTCAGCAACAGCACCTCCTCCACCCACACCCCCACCCCAAAATGTTTACCGAGGAAACATATTTTTGTTTGGAACCCCTAGATCCTTACAGAGTGATGAATTGCGCAGGTTCGGAAGGTGCGGTTTATTTTGTGATTTATTTTTAACCCGGGGTTGTACACGGCGCTGACAGTTTGGACAAATTAGCAATCCTTCGCAGCCGCCTCTAATGAGAGGGGTTTATCTCAGCACCTCGCAGCTAGCGTGAAAAATTACCGCGGACTCAATAAGAGGTGTCGGATCGATCGGAGAGCAGAGTGTAAATTACAAAAAAAACCTAACCACATTTAATCCGGAGACAAATTCATATAGATTAAAATAATGCAGCTGCAAATGGGTGTGAGACACTTCGACTTCACGAGATAGAGTTGAACTCATACCAAACTAACCAGCTTCTTGCAAACAAGATTTTGCTACAAAGCCTTACAGTGAGCAGGTTGCTGTCCGCAATATTTCCCTCTTTTTTAAGAAATATACCCAAAACTTCATTTTAAACCGAAATTGATTAAACTATTTAATTAGTAATGAATACTTCTCGCATACTGATTTTAGACTGTCCCTCTTCATTTCAAAGATGTCTCTCACACACCTTGCAGGACCAACGATAGATTCTTATTAAGAATATAATTTATTTGCCCTGATATTGCACATAGCTATTGGGAAACTCTCCAAGGAGTCTGGAATGAACTGTACATGTAGTCTATAACAGTTCTGCTTATATCACGATGCAACATCGGGCAAAGGATTGCAATTCTGTAGTCCACACGTATTTACACATAGATATCTGGTTTGGAAAAATGCTGTGAAGTATTGAGATTTTTTTTCGTAATAATTGCACACTGCCTCTGAAAATGCTTTTTTCTGGTTGAAAAAAGAAACACCGTAACCTGCTGCTCAATAGGAACTTGCAATCAAGTTTTCTCTAAAATATAATTGAATCAAACGGAGGTGCTGATTTTTCCGAACAATTCAAATTTGTAAACTGTAATTGATTTAAGACGGTAATGAATTAAAATATGCCGGGTGTTTTTTTTTAAAGCCTGGGTACAGTTCTCTAGCATTAGAACTGAGACGGGAATTTCGAAACTAAAGAGTCATTAAACTTGCATTCAGGAGTGGTAAGCCAGATAAGCTTTTAATTTTGCAACGAGCAAATACAAATCCACCCTCCTCTCCACTGGCCTTCTGCAGAGTTTAAATTTCTATGCTTTTTTTTTGAAAAGGAAAACGATGCAGTATTGGGGGAAAATGTTTCTATTTTATCCCAAATGAAATTCAACGTTTACACTGCCTCGGGATCCGGGAAATTTGTTTCGATTTTCCACACCTGATTCAGTGAATTTTAATCTCCAGTTCTCCGACCCCAGCCGTAGTCCCGAGACTCATTTGAAAATAGTGATAATTTATTTATTTCATGGGCGTTTGTTTGGCGGTGTATTTGTAGTCAAACATCATTTAGAGAATTCACGCTTGCACATTACGAACTATTAAACAAAGGCAGGGGAGGGAAAGTAGTTTGTTTTCATACATCTTGTATGTTACTAGGAGATAGGGACACCTGGGGAACTGAGGGAATCGTCATAAAAAGTACCAATTAAACCGAACACTGATCGATAGAACATCAGCAGTGCAAGCTAATAATAAATGATTATAGCTTGAAAATTAGCTGCCCTCATGAAATAATGCAAATTTACTTTTCGCTTGTTCTTGACACCAACAACCGTGTAGGTGAGGATTTACCTTTTATTAAAAAAAACAATTTTGTGTTTGGGTGTCAGTCGTTAATATATACCAAAGTTATTACATATATTAACATGATGGTAAGGTTCGAGATAGGGAATTTTACGCATAAACACGTTAGTTACAGACACAGAGGCAGCCACGTATTTATACAGAGAAGAATAATTTAATAGCTGCTGCCGGGTACCACAGTCCATTTAAATAATTAGACGCTGTCTCCCTGTGATAAAGGTTTATCTAGAATTTTGGTGAAGGGTCGCTTTCTCTTTTAGACTTAAACTAGCTTCACTTATTAAATATGTTTAAATCTCAATGATCGAGCTGGCTTTCCTTCAGCTATTCTGCCTCCTCACAAAGATTACAGTCACCCTTTTTTTTATTTATTGCCTATTTTACACAAGTAACAGAAAGAACAACTTCTGTATTGGAAAGCAAATACTTGGAATTAGTATGGAGGAAATGCAAAAAACTTTTTTTTAAGACAGCGTGCATTACTGTATTTTAACACAGTCAGCTTTTGCTTGTCAAATGTTTGTTGGGAATGAATCAGATCTAATTACTTTTTAGATGTAACCTTTCCCAATTATAACTCTTGTTGAAGGTTAGATGCAGAAACGCAAGTTGAGAAGGAATTTCGAGCGGCCCGCAGAGCACTGACTGTTTTAATGGATTGGATTTGCGAAGATGACTCAGGTGCCTGTAGGTGTTGGCTCACTGGGAAGGATATATGTACCAAAGCACGGCTTAACAAATGTATTGTCTTAACTTTCACTGCACAGAATTTACACTGACACGTCAATAAATGT